AATGCGTTAAAGTCATGTAACGAACACCCAGGTCATAATACATCCTCAGTGTTGCCAAACTACTGTCAATGGAGTGACCACCTTCTATTCCAATCAAACATGCGATCCTTCTACTGTCAGAGATACCTGGAAACAACAAAGGAAGATAATGCCGAAGTAATTTCATGATAGATAAGAAGCCAGCTCTACTAAGCAACAATTGTTATTGTAAATTGCAAGCAATAATACTGACATTTTCATAGAACAGGACCTTATACTAGTGCATGTTTATGTGACAAATTTCCTCTTGACTGCAGCGGGCCAGGACTGTGCACAGAGTCCGTTATTGTGGTTCAGTGGAAAAACTGAAGCTAAAGTTACTCTTTAAACCAGGCGAACTTGCCTGCTTGCAGCCCTCTGTCTTTTGCACATACCTCCCGCAATGCCATTAAAAAATTTCTGTTACAAGAAAGAACATCACCTTGGGAAGTTGTCACAAGTTCAAGCTCTTCATAGCTGTTACACATCCTCTTGACAACATCAATTTGCTCTAAGGTGAGACGCACAGCATCTTTGTTCTGAGCACTGCAAATAACATACACTGACCAAAACTGAAAGAGACATTGACAAGTAAACTAGATAACTTGTGTTTCAACTTCGAAACATTCATTTGCTAATAGTGAAGTTCATGAGCACAGACTAAAATAAATTCCTACAGTTTACAAGGGAGTTGCCACTATAGCTTTTCCCTGCAAAGGAAGAGTTACAATGCAAGGCAAAAGCATCCACTCCAGATATGATTAAAGCCTCCTGACACAGTCAGCTACTCCACAGTACACACGGGGAAGTGGATGTAAGTTTAATTTATCACAGAACAAATGTGGCTGTTTTGGTTAAGGGTACCTGGGTTATAAACCACAAACTTTTGAAACACAAGTGCTATGGGGAAAAGTATCTGTGGCTTTTCAGTTTCATTGTTTTTTCTCTTTCAACAGAAAAGAGCCAAAACCAAGGCCAGGAGTACTTTTGTGATTGGGAAGGAGGCAAATGTAACACTATGTTCTCAGACGCACAACCATGGCAGTACATACCTGAGCTCCCACATAACCAGCCTGAAGTTTCACAAGGTTTGTGTGGGTCTTGTTGAGTTCTCTTAAGTTGACTTTACTGAGTCTATTTTGGTAAAATATTCTCAGCCGCAGTACCAAGTCATTGTGGCTAGAATTGAAAACAAATAGGGCTTGCGACAGAAACAAGTTTTTCCCCTTCTAACCCAAATGTAATTTCTTCCACTGTTCAGAGTCCCTTAGACCATTAATTGCCAATAATCCTTGCAGTAACATATGCTTGAAAGTCTCCCTTGTTTTGCAAAGAAGCTTTATTTCTTAGTTAGGACAGCAAGAAACATTTTTGCTTCTCCCATTTTTATAGCTGTTGTGTTTCTGTGTCTATTTTTCTCTATATCATTTCTGGAAGAATAGAAGAACTGAAATCAGCCACCATGCTCCTTGGAAGCAAGTACTTGTGGTAGAATAATCAGCGCTGCCTGTGCTAGAATAATCAGTGTTTGTGTTCCCAGGTCAAAATACACTCACCACAGACATCATTCCTTCATGTTGTAAGGGTACCCTTTCAAGGTATGATGCCTGCTTTCTAGCTATGTACAGAAGTCATTGCTAATGAAAGATGCCTTTAAATTACGGGAAGGAGACAAGGATATTATGTAAAGGGAAACAATAATTAAGTGGCAAAACCTGACCAGAAAATCACAAATGCATTTAGAATAACCTGATCCTATAGTAAGTACCCTCTGAACCAAAATTCCTTCCAGATAAATCACTGCAACGGTAACTAACTGCTATGTGCTAGTAACAGCCTATGTCTGTACTGATCCAAACACACTTTAGCATTTCCTCCTCACTTGTTAAGATTCACAAAGAGGGTTTAGTTGAACATATTTTTTTATACCCATCGATTAAACGTGCATCTTCCATCAGCTCGATGGCTCGCTCTCTCATTGATTTCTCATAGCTGAATGGCACAGTATCAAAGAAAATCAACAGCCACAACAACCACTTTGTTGTATTTCTTTTCATTTCCATTTTCCAGTTTGCTAAAGCAAAGAGATACCACAATTATTCGTTGATGACAATGAAACAGCAAGATTTCCAGTCTGCGGAGGTTGTAGGCTTAATAGTATAGGCAGAGCCGAAATGCCTCTCCTGCTGGTAAGGCTGGGGTGAATTCTGCAGGAAAGAAAGAAAGAAAGAGAATAATAAACAGAAGGGAAGGTAGCAGTGGAAACTGCAAAACAGCTACTTTCTCCCAAAGATTTTTCAGGTCTCTGGCTGCTGTGGTTTTGCACATATAACCACTCCTTAAACTATGCTGCTGCCACTAGCTGACTGCTGAAGAGAACCAACTCCTCAGTCAGAGCTGGCAGGGGTGACCCTGACAGACGCTGGACTTGCACCTCCCATAAAGCAGCTCCCAAAACAGCGTAACAAGATAGTCTTCTCATTAACCGGTTTGATCTCATTATTTGGGGAACCTCACACTGAAATGAACACTGAAACTGTTTTTGAGAAATTCCAAAAATCAACTTCCTCTGAGTAAATTGTGTTGTTAAAACACACAGCACATCAGAGTATTTTCAGAGGAAAGCTATTGAAATCCAACACTTTTCCATACCTTAGCAAGGACAATATGTGCCAAACTTGAAAAGGTCACTTTATTTCCATGAGAAAATTGGTATGACAACAACTTCAAGAGTAATCCAAGCACCCCTTGCTTTTTTAAAATATAGTACTCAAACACTTGGACAACAGCCTTTCAGGTATCAGTCAAAAAAGCATTTTTACAAACAGATTAGAAATACCTCCTGTTCTATGTAAAGTAAATATAAGGTCTGCTAGGAAGTTAAAATACCTTTGCAGGAGAAGGTTGTGGGTTTTTTTTCCTCCCCACATTCAGAGTTACTGGCACCATTACTTAGAAAGCTGAGGAGGAGTCACCTCCTTCATTCATTGAAGTGACGTCCTAATTAGATGCATGTGCCCTGTGAATTCTTTCAAATTAAAGAAGTTTGGCTAGAATTCTAATATTGCAGGGCCAATGCTCAATTTTTTCCAAAAGACAGCAACAAAAAAAGAAAAATAATGTTGACTTTTCATCTGTTTTCTACCATGAGTCAGTGAAGTTTACATTTATAAACTTTCTTCTGGCAGCACAAAAGTTTGTTTTTACTACTAAAGGAAGTTGGTTTTATGTATTCCTTGTCTGCAGAGGTAAAAACAAATAGCAAATATCCAAGATACGATAAAATTACAATGCAATTCACCTTGCCTGCATGCTTTGCTTCTCTTGTCTTTAAGCAATTTTTCTAAAGCAACAGGAAGTGGACATAAACCCAGGAAATGGTTTCCTGATAGAAAGCCACATATTCATCAATAAAGTCACATATATCTCAAGGAAGATCCCTAGGTGATGGTAGCACTGGAAGCAAATTGCAGTCATGCTAAGCATATTACCTATCAATGGCATCCTGTTCTAAACACGTTTCTTTCTTCCCCTTACTAGAACACTTCGATTATAAAAATCAAAGCCAAAATAAGAGTAGGCCTGTAACCAGGATATTGAAAAGCAGCACAGTGAAAATCATATTATTAAGATTCTTATATTTCCAGCCTATACATTAAAGCATTTTCCTGTCACGTGCAATATGCAGAGTGTAAATCAAAGGAAAAGTTAACTGGCTTATTCGCCCTGCCTATGCCTGATAAAATGTAAATATGTTTGTAAAGGAATTATATTTAATTAAGCTGTGCAATTAAGATGTCTTAAAATAAAAATTAATCCATTTTACATGTATTTTAGCTCTAAATCAAAATAATGTAAAAGTTAAAAATTAAGAAACGACCTCACAACTTGGGTTTAGAAAGGTGCAAACTGCTATTCTAAAAAAAATTTAAAAAAAAATCCTTCAACTTTGACAAAAATTCTTAAGGTTCTTCTTTTGAGAAACTGGCTTGGGCCTTTTCTGTTTCACAAGATTGGGGACTGCATTAAATTGTGGGGCCATCTGGCAGGAAGTACTTTTGAACAGTGAGAACATACAAGCTTATACAAAAGGGAGCATAGATGGAGAAGCAGGTTTAAAATCAGCCCTGAAGTGGTCTCAGAGAGAAGCTCTAGGACAGTTGAATGAACACAGTAGTACACAGGCACAAATGAAGACCCAATATAAATACAATACCAGGGGAGCTGTGGCACTAACTAAAGAAAATTAATAATCCTCACCCCTTAATGTTTCCTACAAGAAAAACATAATGTAAGGAATAGCGTAGAGAGTATTTGTGAAGTACAGAGGTCTAATGCTACACAGAGGAAAGCACTCTAGAAGTAGTTCATCCTTCAAGAACTCTAACAGCCTATGTTCTCATTCATTAACAAACATAACAGAAGTGATTGGCTCCAGGTTTCTTTTCACGTGTACAAAACTTACAAGTTTTTGGCTAGGCCCTTAGGACAATATGGGAATCAATTTACATCATAAGTCTACGCATCTGGGTTTTCTCCTGGGAGTGGTTTCCTGCAGGCCCAGCTACTTCCCCTGGGGTCAGAATGAGGACCAGACCTTCCAAGACTGCGATGATACTCTCAGACTGTCCTACACCAGGGCACAGCTGACTCCCTGGTGACACTTTAATTTGCCTAGAGTTCGTATCATAGCTGATGGAAGAAGCCCTTATTCCTCTCATGTCTGCACAATAACCAAAGGAACCTTCTGTGTTCCCACATTGACTGATCGGAAGGGAGATTTTTCTGCTTTTATTCATTGCCACAGCTTTATATTTGCATACAAGGGAAAATTTATTGGGATGGTCATTTTCTATCAATTTTGTTCTAACACTGCCTTTAGCAGAAAAATATTTGAATTGCCATTGGAAACAACTGTGATGCATCAATGCTGAACAAGTTGATCTCTGTTATTACTTTTACTCAAAGAAACTGAATATTTCTAGATTATGTATTTGGAAAAAAATGAGGCAGGGCACAAATACATGGGCTTACACATTATATCTAGGTACAGCAAAATCCACATTCAAAATATGAGCCCTGTTGTGCTACTATGACATGGTGTTTGATTTCCTTCTCTTACTTGTTTTCAATAAAATCCATTTATGCAAGAGAGAACATTCCAAAAAGAAAAGATAAAACAGAATCCTACTGGAATCTTATAGGCATTTAAAACTGCAGCGGTTTGCTTACAGTCGATTTATTGTAATTAACCTCATGCAGAAAATTAGAAGGTACAATGCAGTGGGAATATAAAGTAAACTAGGCCCAACAGCCTACTACTTCTCTCTCCCAGCCCTGGGGTACATAAAGCAAAGCACACCATTAGTCCCCATAGGACAAACCCAGAGGCAGTCTCATGACGCTGCTCCAGGAACTGAAATACATCAGTTCTAAGTTAGGCACCGCAGCTGAGTCTCCCACAGACCAAAAGTCTGTCCCAAGAAAGATGTGTAACACTACAAGGGGCAATGAGCACAAAGAGAAAACTTTCTTCTTACTTTCAGCTCCGCTCCAGCTACACAAAACATCACAGGCTTGTAACATACAGACACACACAGTGTCGAAGAGATGAGGGAGGTGCAAAATGCAGCTCTATCTCTTCTTCCACATTACACTTCAGAGCCAAAAATGTCTCTTTCCACATCTACCTCTGCATCTCTCATTGAGAGCATAACTGCTTTTCATCCCCACCATACCTCTGCACACAGGACAAGCACAGCAATTTTGGGTCATTGAGCTTAGAAAAGCCATCAGCCCACAGCCCAAAATAAACAGTGACAGTCCCTGGAGAGCTGCCAACAGGCACAGAGCAACTCTTTGCAGACACACGCTACAGAAATAAAGCTTTACTACTTCACACTAGTTAGCTTCTACCCTTGGTTTACATTCTCCAAGCTCTTCATGAACAGCTAGGAAGTTACTATGAATAAAACATGAATGCTCAGACAGTGTACATTACACTGAGTGTTCCCACATCAGGGAGGACAGAGCTATCATGAAGCAGGATGGCCATATCTTCCATATAAGGATGCAACAAGGGGGTCTGCTCTTTTAAAATAGATACATTTTAATGGAAAGTTTCACAGTAAGAAAGGAAAGGTTTTCTGCATGCTTCTGTCATTTACCATCTTCAGAAGTATGGGCAAGCTGCCTGGCCCGTCTTCTCATTTCCAGCAGGCAGGCCAGACATCAGTGCAGAAGGTTCAGTAAACAGCTGCTATTTAAGTGCAGCAAATCTCAGTTAGGAATGGCATTCCTTTCATCCCATTTGAAGTCCTTATTCTCCATCTTATTCTTTACTAAAAAAAAACTTCATGACATCCATTACATTAAGACTCAAATTTGTTGAATTATTGTGCCCAATCAAATATATAAAGTGCAATAAAACAGAGCTCACAGCTCAAGATAGTAACATATCCTGAAAAATTAAGAAGGTTCATCCCCCCCCGGTCCAGTTACACTGAGAGCTCGTGCAGATAGTCCTAGTGTAGCTCTGAGTTAACTACCTCAGATCATGGCAGCAACTTCGTTGCAACAGCACAGACAACACAAGGTGACCAGGATCCTAGGTAAAAACTTCCTTGCTGATTGCTGGTAAAAGCATGGATTCTCCCTATTCCTTAAATAATAATTAAACATAACTTGTAATACATAAGTATTAAACATACTTCTAGGAGCAGAACACATGCATCATACTATGAAGTATGTTTTTAAGAAAAGATACTGATCCCTTTGAAATTCACCTTCTCATCAAGACAGCCTTTCAAGTCTTTCTCAAGTTTTGCTTGAAATTCCTTTTGCTATCACCAGCCCTGAATCATGTCAGGTTTATCTGTTTCCCTGCTTAGAAACCTCCTTAGTGCTGTCCCAATACAGGTAATACAATTTATAATTTCCAACCTGCTATTCCTTCCCTGGCTGTGCTAAAGTGCAATGAAGTGCCACCAAGCAATAAGAAAACACGGTGCTGTTAAAACTTATTGCTTAAAACAGGGATAAAAGGGAATAAATACAGTAATGG